ATAACATGTTTTATTATCTCACAACGGGGGAAACTCAGATGCAACAACAAAATGAGAAACAATTGAAGCACATAGATTCACGCAAAGATAAGAAACAAATGAAGGTAAAATGCTGTACAATATTGAGTTATTTGTGATGTACAACTGAGTGTCTTCAGAAAATGCGCATGTTGTGTTTGAGCAAGAAAAAAACAAAACAAAACTGGCAGACTTGCAAAGAAAAAAGTTGGCATCTTTTAGTGGGCTCTTGACACATCGGCTTCCGTGTTCGGGGAAAAGCGGCTCGGTTGTTTCCGATCTATTTACACTAGGTGCTTGCATGGTTTGATTAAGTTATGTACATCGATCCGAAGCCCCAACAAGTAAGCTGGAGAAAGGTTTTAAGATGTTCGCCTCGTTATACATTCACTGACACGAAGGTGAGTTTTACTTAAACTTTGTGGCTAACATTAACCTTAGCTTATGCTAGTAGGCAATATTCTCGGACATTGTTCTTGTAAAATTTGCTATTTAAGTATCTACCCATTCTACCGACAATGTATTTATCTTATTTTCAAGTATATTATGTGTGTTTATTGTTAGTGTCACAGACTAACGGGGAGGTTACGGTTCGGACTTTTTACTTCCGAACCCTGACGAAGCACAACAAGCCTCATAGTTTAACAGTAGCGCAGCTCTGGTGTTAGAGATCTGGTTCAGCTGTTCAGGTTCAAAGTTGCTGCTTTTAGAAAAATATGACCGTGTTGCGTCATGGCTCCGTGTTACTTCGTTTTATTACCTTTGCATGTTTCTTGTGAAGAGCTCAGATAGGACGGTGTTTACAGCAGTATGTTCAGGCGGATCAGTTGCTTGGCTTGTCTGGCTCTGGTCTGCTCTCTCGTTCCCATATACTCGCTATTTCAGGCTGAATACATAAGTGATTCCATGGAAATAACTCAGGGAGGCTCCTTTATTTACCATCCGTATCCCCGGTAGTTTTAGGCTGATCCGGAGTGAAGGCTGCAAACTTTGCTGTGCGGCGTTAGCTGGTAGCGACAGATATTTACAAGCCATCTTCTTAATTCAGGATCGCTTGGAAATTAATGAAAACTTAAAAGCCCATTATATTAGGAAGACAATAATGTTCATAGTATTGCTTTTTATGCGTCTGAAATACGACTTTTGTCTTTTCTAGCTGTCATGGTAACTCAAAGCGGAAACAAGTGAGCCGCATTGGCTCATGGAGATGTGATGTCAACGCCGTACGTGCAAAACAGCCCGTTCATGGCTTCTTTGTATCTTTCATCACTTCCATGTTGCAGCGAGTTTCAAACATTGCGCCATCATTTTTCTTCTCTCGTCGCTGCTCCGTGTGTCCACACCCTCGGCCAATCAGTGAGCAGCAGCGAAGCTTGCGTCACCCACCAAACCAGGGCCGGCCCGGCTGGCCCTGCTCCGAAGCAGGAGCCTAAAAAGCAGAGCCAGCCCCGAAAAATATCCGGTGGAAAAGCTCCGTTTGTCTCCTGCAGAGCAACAAACAACCTCTGATGACATCACTAGAGGCGACCAATCAGAGGCCTTCAGGTCACATGATGGAGGTTTTTAATGAAGCTTCAGGTCAGATCATTCTGGTGAATGTTGATGTTCTGATTGACCAGCTGCTGCTTCTGGTCCAGTGACAATATTTGATAAGCTCATTTACAGAACCAAGTGGATTTTAGTGGAACCACATTAAAACGGTTCCGGTCCGATCTGTCAGCCAGAATCATGTCTCTAAAGAGCTGATTGAAAATCTTCATCCATTCATCAAGACCTGGAAATGAGAGGATGAGGAAGGCTGCTTACTGAACCCATCATCAGAACATGTTGGGTCACAATCAGAACCAGAACCAGTTACTCCAGAGTAACAGAACAGTTTGAATGAAACCAGAATTAAAGATAAATAATGATTATATTCATAGGTTTGTGAATATAGTAATGTCATATAATCTTTATGACATTCAGGTTTGGAGGATTCAAATGTCCACCTGCAACTCTAACCAGAAACACTGAAGTCGTCGTTTCTTCCTGAACTATTTGACCTAAAAATAGTTTTTCATTCCTTCAGTAGAAGCAGCTCCTTCCTCTTCATCGGTCTCTCCTCTTCATCACTCCCTCCTCTTCATCACTCCCTCCAGTTTCTTCCTTCAAACTGAAGGTAAATCGATCTAATCTTCACAGAAATCCTCAGTTCTCCTCTTCTGTGATCCGCCTCGTCGTTTACAGCTTGATGACATCACAAGATGACGCCGGTGTTTGACCCAGTTACTCCAAAATCCACAGGTAAAATTTCTATATGGAAAATTATTTTATTTTGTTTTTTTCTTTTGATTTAAATGTTTGATTTCCTGGAGTTAAATGCCTTTAAAATGTCACTTCTTCTTTCCAAAAAAGTAAAAACTCAATTTCCAACTATTTTGCGAATCTAAAATTTTTTTATCCACTTTATTTAGGTTTCATAAATTTTCAGAAAAATAAAAACCGACGGGAGCACGAGTCGCTGGCAGACTTTCTTTCTTCACTCACATTAGAACAAATTGGAGAAACATACTTTTCTTCTTTACTTTCAATAATAGAAATTTAATTTCTAAAATATGAGGATGAATAAAAAGTTTTAAAAAAAACTTCTCAGGAGAAGAACAAAATGTGCAGCTGAACATGACATCTGTCTGTAATAAATTATTGTAAAAATCTTATTGATCTGAAGGTGAACATGTGGACAAGCAAACGGTTCTGCTTCTGGAGCCAAAAGGTGAAACACAACAAGACAAGCGACAGGATGTTTATCTAAATGTTATTGGTTTGAGTCCAGAAGCTTCTTGCTCTGGTTTGCTTTAAACAAAGGAAACATGAAGCTAAACTCAGTGCCGTTCAGGGATTGAACCAGCAACCAGCAGGACCCAAATCCATTTCTTAAAGCGCTGAGCTCCTGCTCATCATGGACATCAGCTGCCATCTTTCAAAATGTGAAATAATCAGCCAGTGCCTTAAAACAAGCTTCTACAATTTTCTGAGAAGTTTCTTGTAAATTAGTTTAGTCTTATTTCAAGAGCACTAAGAAGCTTTAGAAAGTAAACAATTAGTCAGATTTTATTTTTACAGATTTCAAACTGAACATTGGATGGAAGATTTATATATTTTTTTTGTGTGTGTCAATGATCTTAAGTTTCCCACATTGTGAGGATGAATAAAGAGTAAAAAGTTTCCAAGAAGAAAAAGTGGATCTGAAGTGAAATGTGGAGTAAATGGTTCCAGATCTCCTCCGTTGTTGTTCTGAACATGTTGAGCAGTAAAAATGTTGGATTCTGCTTTTCCTGCCGAGACACAGCAGCTCACTTTGGACCTGTGGGTTCTAGATCCTGACCTTTGACCTTTTTCTCCTGGAGTAGACGATTCTGAAGCCATGCCTTCAGTTGTCACAGTTGATGCCACTCCGGCCCCAAATTCCTCAGAAATAGAAGACAAATATAAATAAGAAAAGGATTTTAGTGTAGCTGAGTGAGTGCTGGAGAGTTTGACAGGCTGCTTATCTAAAGGTTGTTGGTTTGAGTCCATCTTTCTGTGTTTTGATTAAAGTAAAATTGTTACAGTTCAGGACTCAAACCTGCAGACTCCCAGTCCACTTCTTATTCCTCTGAGCTACTGCACAATACAAAAAAATAATGTTTTCGGTGTAAATTTATCCTTTAAAATTCAAATTTTTACACTTAAATTTTTTGAAAAAATCTGCAGAGGAAAAGTGTCGATCAGAGGATTGGTGGCTGCTTCAGGTCTTCAGATTCTCTTCAGCGACTCGTTCAGCTCCAGACTTTCATCTGTTCAGCAGTAAATCCACCAGCAGGACTCGGCTTCTCAGACTGAAGCTTTATTTCATCTTTACACACAAATACTTTCAACCTCAGAGGGAACAATTAAAGCCCGACAAGCCATGCAGAGTCACAGTTTATACAAACAGGAGTTTTCTGAGTCTTCATCAGCGATGAAGGTCAGTTGGACTAAAGCAGAGATCTGCAGCTCATTAGGATGAAAAATCACAAACTCAAGTTAAAAAAGAAAATAGAAATACAGATTAAATTTTTTTTTCATTGAATAACAGAATTTAACTTTCACAACAAAATGACATTTAAACTATTTAAGTAACTAAATCTGATAAAAATCACATTCTGAAGATGTTTCACTCAAACCTTTTTCTACAATATTAGAAATAAAAGATGCAAATAAGCAAATATTTATGTTTCTTCTAAAAAAAATAACAGAATAAACATTTTTATCAATGTTTATCAATACAGTGTAGAACTGATCTGCTGATTATGTTTTCAATTAATCAATTAATAATTGGTGCTTAATAAGAATTTTTTTTTTACATAATTTGAACCTGATGACCTAAAAACTGTAGCTTAATGAGTTTTGGGTAGAAAATATTTACAAACCGGATTTTATTTAATCTTTAATGTAAAATTATAGATTTTTTGTTCAGTTTTGATTTAATTCCATCTGAATGGTTGTTTTTACAGTCAAATAAACTTTTTGAGTCAATACTGCAGTTACTGATTAATTGATTACCAAATTAGCTGACTATGATTTTAATAATTAATCATTTTATTTATATCAATTTTTCTTGATATTAAATTGGAAACAATGTGCAAATATAAACATCCCATATAAGAAAATGTGACCATCATCTTCTGAGGTTTTGTGTTTTTCTTTATAATAATAAAACCTTAAAGTAAAAATAAAATATTTTCTCTTTAACAGTTAAAACAGATTAAATGAAGTAAATATTTAAAAGATGGTCGTTTGATGAGAACGCTGAGCGCAAACGGGCCGAGCAAAACCACCAGGAGGGACGAAGGACCAGAACCAGAACCAGAACCAGGACCAGGACCAGGACCAGGACCAGGAGGGAGAAACGGCATCAGATCGTCTTCAGTTCTCACCCTGAAACTCTGAGCTCATCTGTGGAGAAAACAAGAACTAATTAATTCATCTGAAACGGAACCAGTTCAGTTCAGGACCGTTCGTGTTCAAAGTTCCCAAACTAAAACCTCTGAGCCACCAGGAGGCGCCAGAGCTGCAAGTTCTGCTTCATTTCAGGAAAATTAAAATGCATCTTTATCTGAAGTTCTCAGATTTATTACATCTGTAATACGACGGATTATTAGATCCACGTTATGAAAATAAAAATAAAATTACAATAAATTCAAAATAAAACTAGAATAAAGTCGTAGGATTATTTCTCAGATTTGTTATGAAAAAGTCATAAAATAGGTTACCTTTATTCTCATTTATATTTTTTTAATTTGTATTTTTTTCTAAGTGTGGCCCTAACACTCTGTCGTACTTGAAAAAATAAAACCTTGTTATAAATAATAAACTTTAAAGTTTAACTTTGGCTAACGCTGTTAGCTGCCGCTGACGGGACGACTGGAATAATTGATGAGCTGCCAATAATTTCATTAACCAGAATTAGATCTACAACCAATTAGATGTTTAAAATACCACAATTTACATTTAACTTTATATTTTGGTCCTTCTGATGATGTAATTTTCAAATATTAAATGATTTCATCAGATTCTTGAGTCGCCTTTTAACAAATACTTTTTCACTCTTGAGTAAAATATGTTGAAGTATTTCTACTCTAACTTCAGTGCAACATTTGGTTCCTGTTCCCATCTGAACATTTCAATATTTTCTAATTATTTTCCACCAAATTTCACCAATAAACTGATAAATTTATGGCAGGTAAAGCAGTTCAGGTCCTCCAGGTAAGGAGTGTTTACTGTCCTCTGATTGGTCAGCTGCTAACCAATCCAGTGGATTTATTGACGGATTAACCGTTCAAACCAAAGGTTGCTCAATCTGTGGTTCAGTTGCCAAGAAGAGGACGAAGCTCAAAGTGTTTGGGTCGACCATGCAGGACTACAGGAGCTACAACCAACATGCAGCAACACTTTACCTGAGGGACAAAGTCCTGCAGGTCCATCTAGAGACAGGAGACGGACAGATTCAGAGCAGGACAGGGGGACAAGGTCAGAGGGCGTCGCTACAGCAACAGTCAGTGTCACCTCATTCATACTGTCAACTAAATTTACACTAACAGGACAGTTATCTACTTATGCTAACAGCTAAATAACTGTTAGCATCTTAGCTGTTAGCAAAAACAAAAACACTGAAAATGTTGAAAAACCAGCAGTAGTTTAGTGGATGGATTGTTTTAAAGGTTTATTCTGTCAGTTCATCTCCTCTATAGTTTCTATAGGCACCTTCAATCTTTCTTTTTAAATAAAATGATTATAAAATATGAATTTAAAGCTTCCATATCTCGGGATGTTAATATTGGCTGCACTACACAATGTCTACCAGCAGGAGGCGCCTCTGGAGCATCGCTGCTCTCACATCGTTTTAACAGAAACTCAGATTTTCCTGAACTTTTCGGCTCTAAAATCCATTTTTGTCAGTGAGGAGGTCAGATTCTGGCTGTGAGGAAGAGGAATGTGTGTTTCAGGGTCTGGACAGATTTAAATCAGACATCTGGAGCTGAATGAAGGACTCACCACAGCATCAATGTCTCTGGGACTTACAATTCGCTCCAGCACCTTGTAGTCGTCAGGAGACATGGGCATCATGTTGTCCTGCAGTCTGGACGGGTGTCTGACCAACAACAAAGCTGTTAGTCCATTTTTATCACATTTCAGACTGAAAACATCATTTTATAAAACGATAAACTGTCAAAAAAGAAAATATTTGATTCTAAATCACAAAGAAAACATTTTTACTGCACCCAAACTTTCTTTAAATCAAAAAATGACTTTTTGAAATGTCAAAGTGCGCAGCTACGTCATAAATGAAAGGAAAAGAACAACAAAGTAGGAAACTTGCAGCAAGGCGGCAAAGTTTCTGTTGTAAAGTAACTTAATTGACCCCAGAACCATTCTGGGGTCAGAACGACTGGTTCCTCTCCTCCTTCATCAGAAACATGGCTGAATGACAATAATGAAGCAATCGTATTAAATGAATCAGCGCCTCCTACGTATAATTCTTTAAGTGAGAACAGAAAACACAAAAAACCAGAACCAGAACCAAACGAGGAGAAGCAGCATTCAGCTTCTATGCACCACAGATTTGGAACAAACTTCCAGAAAACTGTAAAACAGCTGAAACACTGAGAGCCTTTAAATCTGAACTCTGAACCCACCTGTTTAGAGCTGCTTATGGCTACATTAGGGTTAGAGTCCCTCGAGTAAAACGGGGTTTAGAGTCTCAGCTAAACGGCGTTTAACTAAAATCCTAAAAGGGGTGAAGGTTTTAATGTTATCTTGTTTAATCTTTTTTTTTAAATCTCTTTCTCTTTCTAACTGTTTATTCATTGTCACATGCTGTTTTTTTATTATGTAAAGCACTTTGAAATGCCTTGCTGCTGAAATGTGCTATACAAATAAAATTGTATTGATTGATTGATTGGTGCTTCAGTTACTAAAAGTAACAAAGTAAAAAGCTACAAGATAAAAATAAATGGTTTGTTTTAAATGATTCTTTTAGATATTCAGTTATTAAAATATGTAAAAGTTTCTTACTAAAACGTTAATCTCTCCCTTTATGGTAAAACCTCTGATCTTACACTTCAGAGACGGAGATGAGCTCCGTCTTCATGTAGCCGCGGACCTCCTGGACGTCCGTGTCCATCGGCTCTGGAGCTGCAACAGAACCAGAACATTAACGGGTCCGATTGGGTCTTTCCAAGCGGTGGGATGAATCGGCGCGGCTCTCACTCTCTGAGGGTTTGGGGTAGTACTTCCCGAAGGCCTTGTCCTTGGGGACGTCGGGGTAGAGGAAGCGCAGCGGGTTCTCCGGGATGTTCTCCACGGCCATCACCTTGTAGGTGCGGATGATGTCGGGCAGCGACACGGCCGACAGCTCCTTCTTGGTGTACGGCTCCACCGAGTGATAGACGGGCTTATCTGGAAAAACAGAAACACGTTACAGCTGCAGCTTGTGCTCCAATGGGGGCCCGGCAGAGTCCTTTCACAATAAAAGCCCGGCCTGCGTTACCGTGGACGTCGTGCTCGATCCAGGTGAAGGTGATGGCGCCCTCCTTGCTGCTCTCGCTGAACCTCAGCAGGAACGTCCCGGGACATTTGTTACTCAGCAGCGCCTTCTCCCTCTCCTTGCTGATGAAGCCCATGATGCAGCTGCACGCAGGACCAGACTGTAACCACGGAAACGCAGCAGCAGCACCGACGGTGCTTCCGGCGGCGCTTACCCGTCGTTCCACAGCGACAGCAGGTGTCTCTTGATCAGGTCCAGGATTCCTTCGATCCACAGCCAGAAGGGGAACGATTTCTCATTGGCGCTCTGCTGCAGAGACGACAAACACATGAACCAGATCCGCCCGGCAACGACCCCGACGACGACCCCGGAGGCTCACCTTGCAGAACTTGGTCCAGGGAATCGTCCCGTCTGGATTCCTCTGAGCTTTTGCTCCTGCCAACAAAACAATCATGTTAAACATCAGAACCAGAAACCCGATAATCTGGTCGGAACCTGAGACTTTTCACATAGTTTGGAGATTAAAAGTCTATAAATCTGGAAATAATCCAGAGAAAAACCAGGAAGAAATAAAATCTGAACACATAAAAATATCAAGTTAATTCAGGACGAAAGAAGGAAAAATTAAAGAAAAATGAAGTGAGAATAAACCCAAGATCTGGTTCTGTTCTGGTTCTGACCCAGCAGCTTGTCGGCCAGCATGTTGAGCTGCTCCTGGTTCAGGCCTCTCTTGGTGACGGAGGAGAACTGCCAGCTCAGCACCTCGGACAGCTGGGACCACTTGGCGGACGGCGGCGACAGGAAGAACTTGAGGTTCTGTTGGACAGAGCAGGTCGTTAGCATCGGATTGGCGCCGAGGAGGAAGAGGAGGACGAAGAGCGGGGCTTACTCTGGGTTCTGTGGTCAGCATGTTGTACCAGAGGATGGAGGCCCAGCCGCTGGGCAGCTGGCAGACGTTGGAGATGACGACGAGGGGCAGAGCCATGGCCTGGAACACACACAGGGTTCAGTTCTACCGGGCCGACCCGGTTCTGGAGCCCGGCTCCGGGTTCCGCTCACCTCCACCTTGATGTGGAGTCCTGGAGAACCGGACTGGTTCAGGTGCAGCTCCGACTCGAAGCTGAGCGAGTGAAGCTCCTCGGTGACGATCAGCGGACCCTGAGGGACAGGAAACGGGTCAGACAGAACCGAGCCGGACCAGAACCCACCGACCGACCCGGTGGAGTCAGGAGGTTCTGCAGGTTCACATCTGAGTTTAAACCAAACCCGACTGAATGACCTCAGGTTAAGAACCAAATTTAGGCCTGATGCAGGTCTTATTAGGGTTGCCATGGTAACAACACTTTGAGTCTAGATTGATTCTGTGAGAAAAAAAAAAACACTTATAGATCTACAACTAACTATTGATTATTCTATCGATTTTTCTTCAAAGAAAAAGAAAAATTTCAAACTAATTTTGCACAATTTTCATTTAAGTCATTTTTATACATTAGAAATATATTTAAAAAGCCAACAAATACTTTCAATCATTTTTGAAATAAATTTTTTTTAACATTTTATTGGTTAAAATCCAATTCCAATAATTGCATCTTCTGCTAAATTTTTTTTTTTTATCTTCAATGCAAAATGTTTATATTTTTGTACAATTGTGTCTTAATTACTCCTCTAAGTTGTTCTTTCAGTAAATGGTCTTTTTTTACATTAATTACTAAATTAGTTGATTATTATTTCACTGGTTGAACAGATGAACTCTCTCACCTCGTTGGTTCTGTTTCCGGCCAGTTTCTGCTCCTTCAGTTGCTGCACAAATTTAAAAATTTTACATTTCAGGTTAAAAACATTTTTCACAACAATAACAGTCTAGATATGACATTTTAATGTTTTATATGATAAAAATCAAATTGTAATCAGTTTTCTTACTCAGGCTGAAACACTTAGTGTAATATCCAACATGACCACACGGGGGCGACATGTTTCTGCAGCTTCTCTTACATTTTATTGTTTCTTGACCTTTTTGTTTGTATATTTAGATTACAGGAGCTTTATCATTTCCACCATCAGTCTGATTTGTTTTGTTGATATAAATAATAAAACATGTCATTTTTATTTGTATCAAATCTAAACCATCTTATTAAATCAGACGTTGTTTCTGTTCCTCACCAGATGCCTGAACTCGGCCGCCAGGCTGCCGTTGGACTCCTCCATGTTCATCACCTTGGTGTTCGTTCCCAGGATGTTGAACTTACGGAACCTGGAAACAGACGCCATGTTTCCTTTGACTTTCGAAATGTTGACCTTTGACCTCTGGAAACATTTATTGGGTGTTTATATTTACAAAAAGTGCGACAGCGCTGATAAAAAATGAGGAAAAATGATTTCAAATCTCCTTTTCTACCTTTAAATTGATCCATTTTCTGAACAATTTGGACAGAAATGAAGCTTCTCTGTCTTTAATCAGGTTTTTGTGTTTTATCAGATGCTAAAGCTAACCCGGCAGGATGCGGCTGTTTCCTAGGTAACGGGTAAAGTTTCAGACGTACCCTTTCTTCTCTGTGACGTCCCTGTGGGAAACAAACGGCAGAGTTATTGTTGCAGACAGAAGCGGTTTGAACTCGTCCACATGAGCTCAGCTTACTTATCGAACACGGCTTTGACTTTGAGCTGGTAGTTGAACTCATGAAGCTTCACCAGGAACCTGAACACAGACAGGAAGTCAGACGGTCAGGTGAAGAAGAAGTGACTTCCTGCTGAGCTTTCCGGTCGCATTCAGAGCAGTTTGGTTCTCACCGGAGCTTCACGGTGAACTGGACGCCCGTCTTCAGCACCAGCGGTCTCTGTGGGTGTGTGGGCATGCAGGGCTGCCGCTCCACCACCAGAGAGCTGCAAACACAAGCAGACGCCATGTTGGCTCGGCAGCAGCTGCGGCTCAGAGGACGGGACGGAGTCGTACCTGGACAGCAGGTTCTTCAGCAGGTCCAGAGCGCGGTTCTCCAGGTGGCTCTTCTTCTGGGAGATCGGGTCGTTTTCGTACGTGAACTTCTGCTCCAGCTCCAGCATCTTGTTCAGGTGCTGCCGGACCTGCTGCAGCGACTCGGCGACGGCGGTGAACCTGCAGCAGGAGAAACAAACAGGAAGAAGCAGACGGAGAAAACGCTTTTTTAGCTCCTAGAGTTAAAAAATTACTTTAATAATGATGGATTATGGTGGAAAAAACAACATTTCCTACAGATTAATTTGTAGGAAATGTTGAAAATTCCAAACGTAGAAAAATAAATAAACTTTTTCTGATTAAAACTAATTAATTTTAAGATGTTTTTCCGGTAAAATTGCATCAATATTCCTATAATTAAACAAAAAAATTTCATAGTTATCGTATTCATTCCTTTTATCCAGAAGGAATGGATAAAATAAAATAAACCTTTAAAAAATATTTTCTATCACTTCAAATAAGATCTGGTATGAGAAAACTAATGATTGGAAATCAGATTTGCTATAAAATAAAATAAACAAACAAATTAATTTAAAAATAATTGTAAAAATCTGAGATAAGGTTTGAAAAGAAAAAAAAAATCTGAAAATCAACTGGCATGAGAAAACCATTCACTAGATAATTGATATAAAAAAACTAAATAAATACATAAAAAATTTTAAATAAGATCTGGGATGAAAAAAGTAACAATAAGAAATCAGATTTGCTACAAAAAAATAATAAATAAATAAATAAATATAAAGAAAAAATTGGAAAAAGATTTTAAGACTTGGTTTGAGGAAACCAATAAATGTAAATCAGATTAGATCTAAAGCTCAGCATGTAAATGATATTTAAACTCAGTGTTTATATGACATTTATCTCAGCGCGCCGCCGCTGCCTCACCAGTTCTGCAGCTGGTCCACGCAGGCGTTGGGCGGGCCGCCGATGCAGGCGATCTGCTGCCGCTGCTTCCACTCCGGCAGCTCCTCGTTGATCAGGTCTTGGATTAAACTCTGGGTGAGGTTGAGCAGCTCGCTCAGGAAGGACACCACCTCCTGCCACACAAAGCGCATCGTCAGTCTACGGGCCTCCACAGGAAACGCTGCAGAGCGCGGCGACGGCGACTCTCACGTGGCGTTTCTGCTTCAGCTCGATGCACATCCTGGTCGTGTTGAACTTCTCCTTCTCCAGCTCCTTCGCCGACATGCCGTTCAGCTCGTTCTCTGCAGGAGGGAAGCTCACATCAGCTGCACAACGAATGTTACACATGGAGGAACATAAATATGGCGACACAGTTTGAGTAAATACACGCAAATTTGACCTGCTGGGAAAATGTGCAGCAAATTGTCATAAAACCAGATTTAACTGGACGATAAATTGTCCCAGAAGTTACAGCAATAAATATTAATGTTGTTTTGAGAGTCTGAAAGAGCAGAAAACTTTAGATTATATTGAACTTTTAATAGAGGAACTGGTTAAGATATTCTATTTATCCACAACAACAAAATCCGGTCGGATGATGCTGGACCAGAACCCGTCCTGCTTACGGTTCTTCAGCGTGTTCATCTTGAAGTCGTACTCGTCCTGCAGGTCCTCCAGGTTCTTCAGCATCTGATCCATGAACTGGAGGAGAAAAACTGGACCTTTAATGAGGTTTAAACAGAAACCGACAGGATGAATGAGCAGCTTTAATCTGAGTTCATCAAACCTGAACTTTGTCTTTCAGCTCCTTCACTTTGTTGTCCAGCTTCTGCTTCTCCACCACCATGGCCGACACGGCTCCTTCTCCTTCCTGCTGCAGAAACGGCATCAGATTGGTGAGGATCTCAGGTTTTGACCATGTGCAAAAAATACAGAACTAACTGGAAACTTGGCGCCACTGTCTGCACATTTAGTCAGAAACACAGAAGAAGAAGCTAGCAGCAGCTAGCCACGTCTGCTAACTCAAAAATATTTAAATCAGTGGAAGGAGATTTAGATTATTTAGCAGTTTTTGATGAAACAATTAGTCAATTATTGGAATAATTGTCAACTAATTTAGTTGTTGATTCAATGTTAATTGCAATATATGGCCTTAAAATATGTTATTAACTAGAAAAAAAACTTCTCTTTAAAATGTTGTAAATAACCTTTAATGGTTAAAAATCTGCTTTAATCGATTAGTCTGATTTTTTTAAATCAGACTAATCGACTATTATAATCATTCTTAGCTGCAGCACTATTTTTTTTAATTTGCAATATGATTAATTAACTTTTGGATAAATTTGGTTTAAGTGGAAAAAACGATAAATTCGCAGGTTTTTACCTCGGCTTCCTTCGCACAGACCAAGATCTTCTGCTCCTCCTTCAGGTTCCTGGAGATGATCATCGCCATGGTAACGGGGTCCTCCTGGAAGCGATCCTGCAGACAGACGGACGCCGGTTAGAGCGCGTTAACCTCTGACCCCTGGGCGGCGGCGGCGTCTCCGACCTGCAGGTTCCTCTTGATCTTGCGGAAGTTGTGCTGCTGCAGGAAGTTGCTCTCCAGAGCGAAGCGGCTGTGCTGGTCGTCCAGCTGCGCCAGCAGGTCGTGGAAGCGGATGGTGGCCAGCGAGTCCTGCACCGCCACCGTATCCCTGACGACGAGCAGGAAGAAAACAACATGGAGGCTTCCAATTTGAATGAATATGCGTTATAACAACATTCCTTTGGGATCAATAAAGTTTCAGAATTTGTTCATGTTTCTCACAGGAAAATTCAAACTTTTCAAGGTAAGTTTTCAAACTTTTCCAGCCACAAACCTTAGACATAAAAACATTAAAATGATCTTAAGACACAATTATGTCTTATTATAAGAGTTGGGTTGTAACGATTAAGAGAAAATGTACTTTCAGGAGTATTTTCTTTGATATTTTTAGGAAGTATTGCTGCTGGTACGTGAACAAACTTGGACTGAAGCAGAATCAGCTCCTTACCAGTCGATGCTCTCGATCCACCTGCTCAGGTACTGCCGGATGTCCATGGGGAAGGAGTCATCGTACAGCTGGTCCACCTGCTCCAGGTACTTACTGTCCAGCATCTGCAGCTGGCACCACTGCGCCATCTGGTGGCCACAAGCAGCAGCTGCATCAGGACTCACTAACTTAATTAGAGAAACTGGCAGTGTTGCAGCACTGGATCTTTTTCATCAATATTAAGAAATGATTGACTTAAAAGAAGCTCATATATTTTGCTGAAAGGTTATTTGTCATCGTCTCCTGAGGGACCAAGATCAGCCCAGAGACCGACTGGAACCACAGACAGAAGTCTGGGTTTCCTCTGTGTTTTATCAGCCACCAGGCTTCACTGCCCTCTAAATTATGACACTTGAATGTTTGGAACATTTTTAACCCAAAAACGCAGCGGGCCGCTGATGGACGACCTTATGACCCCACCGCCAGGCTCAGCAGGTTTTCCCAGGTAAGGCAGACGCTTCCTGATCCAGTTCTCCATTTTGTGTTAAATGATATTTACTAGTGTGACTTTTTGAAAAGTGATATTTTCATTAAAGGGTTTGACCAGAAACCTTCACCTTCCATTTATTACACATCAGAAAATAGATCTGGTGGTCAGATCCTAATGTCGTGTTTGTAGGTGGAATCTTTTGTTTTTGAGGCATGTGAGAAATGAGAAAACGTTCCTGCACAGCAGATAGAAACTGATAAACATCTCACAGTAAACGACAAGTTAAAACCTGTTTGTAACTCAGCAGGTTTTTAACTTTTTCATTGAAACGTTTGAAACAAACCAGTTAAACAACTTAAAGCCTCCAGACTAAAAGAGGCCAAAGCTTAAAGAGCATTTTGTTCAGGATGAAAGAGGTTCAGGTGAGAATCAAAGTTTCCTTCAGATCAACATTAAACATGATTAAATAAATTAATAAAATCTGTATTTGATAAATATTAACATATCAGATGGTCGTGTCAACATGTGGAGAAACTTCAACATTTCAAGGTTCTTGGTTCTGTTGGCTCAGATTAGAACAAGCAGAAACTATTTAGCTTTATTGCTCTTGTGTTTCTGTGCAGAAATTTGTTGGTTGTTAAAGTTCTTTATAGATAAAACTAAAAATCTCCATTAATTTAATAAAATATTGATTAAAAATACTAAATATATTTAAAACATTAAAAACCTTTAAACTGAAATGTGAATTTATTATTTTAAACATTTATTTCCTGGTATCAGTGATCAGACAGGATTCTTGCCATTTCAACAGGTGAACACACCTCTGCTGTCAGAGGGGGCGGAGCCTCAGGTGGGTCCGGTTCAGGTTCTGGAGAATCAGGTCCATTTCTCCTGTTCGCTCCGACTCGGTTTGTGTGAACAGAAGGAGAAGCAAAGATCTGATCAGGTGAGTTTTAACTCCACTTTCTACTGGTTTCCAGTCCTGACTGGGTTTTCTCTCTTTGAGCTGCTGGACAGAACCAGAACCAGAACCAGAACTGGGCCTGGTTCTGGTTCTGATGCAGAGCTGCAGCTCCTGATTTCAGTCAGAAACTCTGATTTTCTCTGAGTTTTCATCTGTAACCCAGACAACCAGCTGAGTTTGCTCCCAGTTTCATAGTGGAGTCAAACTGGTACCAGAAGGTTCTGAGTGTTTGTGGCCCGGCTGAGATATCTGGGTTCTGGTTGGTGGATGGAAAATATTTCAATATGAAGTCAATAATTTATTGATCAGAGATGATTTCTCTGGGCTTTTATCAGTAGAAAATCTACATTGAATCAGTCTGTGGTGACAGAGATCAGCTGATCATTTCAATCAATTATTGATCAATAAATAACTGATTATGCTGACATAACAACACAGCGCCCCCTAGAGTATTTAAAACCATCCGCCCCACCCACTGCTGTTATTTAGACCTGAACTGAGTTAAAACATCAAACCATCAGAACCTGTAAAAACTATTGGACCCGATTTACACACCCAGCAGGAAGTCGATTATTTTGGTTCAAAATGTGGCTTTTGTTGTTGTTGTTGTTGTTTGCTTTTTGTTTTTGTTTTTTTACATTTTGGTTTTACAAGAAAAAGCAACAACAACAACAACAACAAAAGCCACATTTTGAACCAAAATAAT